CTGCTTCATCTTATTATTCACATTGATATAGCCAAAATCTCTCTTTGTATGCAAAGTATCATATAAAGCTTGATCTTTACATATATGGACATTGACAGCAGAATCCATCACCCAATTAGAATTCTCAACAGGATTTGTATTTAAAGAAGTAAATCAGCTTCATAATTGACCACGTTCGCGGAGTTCTCAACTTTCGACTTACCTTTCAAATTTCTCAGACTTTTCAAGTCTTCTTTTAAAAGTCGACAGTAATTTTGAATATGACCAAACTCTCCACAATAATGACACTCAACAGAGCTGTAATTTTTCAGCCGAGATTTCGAACTTCCACCACGGTCACTCTTCATTTTCCTCCCTTTTTCAGAACTCCCCACAACTAGTAGTTGACCCTCCTTTGAAGCACCTTCATTTCCCATTATCTTGGCATTCTCCTTCAAAACCATTATCATCTCATTCAATTTCAATGTAGTTTTTCCAACTAACATTGATTACACCAATGGCTTGTAAATTTGGGCAATGAAGCTAACAAGAGCAATGCTTGCTCTTCCTCTTTAATTTCCTCTCCTGCATTCAATAGTCGACATACTAGCTCATTAAACTTATTAGTACGGTCAATTATATTACCTCATTCCTCCATCTTCAAAGAGTATAGATCTATCTTCATAATTAGGCGGTTAGTCAACATCTTCGTGACAAATTTACTCTCCAAGGTATCCCACAACCTCTTCGGCGATGTTTCCGTCAACACGGTAACCTTTATCTGCGGGGTGAGTGCGAATCGAATCGTGCTAACAACCTTTTTCCGAATCATACTCCAATCATCTTCTTTCATACCTTTAGGCTTTGCATCTGCCAAGGTAACATCAAGACCTTACTGCACCAAATAGTCTTGAATTGTGCTTTGCACATAGTAAAATCACTCTTTCCATCAAAGAGCGGAACCTCATAATTCAAAGTAGTGGACATAGTGCTTAATAACTCTCTAATAAACAAGCACTTCCAACAACCAAATAAATTGAGGCTAAAAATTTAAGCCAGGAACTCAAATCAGGCAGAACCGACCTTTCTGGCAGAAATCTGGTGTGTTGTCAGAACCCGCTGCGGAACTGCAACCTGACTGCTGGCGTGCCGTTAACTTCTCTCGAAACACCTCTTTCTCCTTCTCTTCCCTCTTTGCCAAGACCTCGCAAAAAAATGACCTCGCTTTGATACCACTTGTTGGGAATACACAAGGGAAGAGAGAGAAAAACAAAATAACAAGACACGAAAATTTAACGTGGTTTGGTCTCACAACAGACCTACATTCAAGATCCCAAAACGGAATACTCCACTAAAATATTTATTACAATTTTTGCAAGGATAAAATTGCACAACCCTCCTCACAACAACTCACCAATCTCAATTTCACTCTCTCTAGTTACTAAAGAAAAATGCTTGTTGTTATGTTCTAAAATAGAACCCAAATGAGTCAATTTATAGGAGTCAATGTCCCTACCTTTTTATCTACTTCCGATGTAGGATATAGAAAGTTACACAACAATTAGGTAATATAATCTATTATCAAGATTCAAATATATTAATTTAGGTATTGTTTTATTTGTATAATTTATTTTAAAGTAATATGTATATGTGTTATTTAATACATTTAGATTGTACTTTTTTGTAGTTAATATTATTAAATTTAATATTATATAGTAATTGCTATTTTAATTTTAAATAGATAATTATATTTAAGAATTTTTTTGATGTAATTGTAAGGTTGTTTCGTGAAATGATTTGAAGAGAGATATTTTTTTTATATAAGGTACTCATAATTTATTTGCGATTTTAATAAAAAGATAAATTTAGATCTATATACTAATACATTATTAATTTGTAAAATTCAAGATTTTATTTATTTTGCAATACTTTTTTGTATTTTTATTATAAATTTTTTTATAAAAGATATTAAACTATTATTTGAAAAAAAAAAAATCTCAAATCAAATATATTATAATATTTTTTAATTCTAAGTTTAAATAAATTTAAAATATCTATTATAAATATAACTTAAAACTTAAATTTTTACATTAATTATTATGTATTTTAATAATAATGTATTCGTGCATAGCACGGATATTACACTAGTAAATATATATATGCTAATATATATATATATATATATATATGAAACTTATATGCAGTCAAGATTAGAATAAATGATTCAAAATAATAATACTAATAAAAAGTTGCATTATTGTTCAAAATTGAATTAAAATTTGAAATTCTTTATTTTTCAAAATTCTTCAAATTGTTGGAGTTTTCCTTTTATTATTATTATTATTATTATTATTATTATTATTTTCATTCATGTTGTTTTTGTCAGGATTTTTTGCCTCATATATAAAGATATCTAACAATACAAATGATAATTGCTCTATAATTTTTATAATTCTTGAAGTAATTTATATTTTGGTGAAGTAAAATTCATTTTCTCTTTCTATCCTATCTGATTTGTGTTTTTGGATTTCGCCTTATCTCAAATTTCGTCAAATATATTTTTCAACAATCTTGAAGTGAATTTGGAAATTTGAGATAGTGAAAAAAGAAAAAAAAACTCCCTTATGATGTGATCCCCACAACTTAGCCGAGTACGAAAAGAGCAACTAACATATTGGACGATGAGGCGAGGGTGAGGATTGTCAGTTTAGATCGGTGTGGGTTGGACGTCTTCATCAACAGCAAACACAACGGACAAGCGGACGATGACTTTGATGCAACCTCTAGCCTCTCAGATCCTCTCTTCATTTTTGGAATCAAGGAGGCAGGAGGTGAGTGACCGGAGATAGGCGAGTCGGATTGCGAGTGCGATATGTCTATTTGCGAGTTGTGTGATTGTTGATTTGATTGAACGGATTTTGTTGGATATAGGAGATGAGTTTTTTTTTTTATTATTATTGAAAAAAAAAAGAATTGTTGTTGATGGAGGTGACAAAAATCTGAACGATGATATTCAGATTGGCACAGATGGGGAGGAGAATGAGGAGGTTAACTCTAACGAGTTTCATACTCATGTTCTCCTGTTCTACGACCTCAGCCACCCCGCCCAAACAGTGAGGCAGACAAGAGGGTTGTTGTCAAAAAGACTGCGAAGGCATAATATGAATTGGCCTTTAAGGCCACGATGGAGGGGCGTAGCCTATTGCTGCAATATCCAACCAGTCTTCTGCTGAAAAAAAAAAAAAAAAACATGGGATCTGGTTGATATCTGCGTGAGACAGTCTGTTGCCGTTCTGCCTCGTCCGCAGCATATGATTGCAGGACTTGCGCAGGGTCTCGTTGCGTCTGCCAGACAACAACTAGATGAGTTTGAGTGTATATAGCATGTTACTGTTGTGAACCATGTAATGTAGTCTGTTGCTACAACTTTCAGGTAGCCTATTGCTGCAATAGTCGAAAATCCTTAAACATTCAATGGACAAAATTTTAAAATGTGGCAGCCGAAGATGTTGTTTTACCTGACCATGCTGAATTTGGCAGATACTGAAAAAAAAATAAAAAACTTGCCGCCTAGTTGTGGTGATTTAAGATTTACTTGAAATACAAATGAAAAGAAAGGAAATGGACATGGCGAGACTGATCAACCGTCTTCAAACTGAAGATGAGTATAGATCAAACCTGAAAAGTAGGGGACCTCTGATGCTTAGCAGCAAGGCCAATGTAGTCGATACAATTCCATAAGAAAACTTATTACAACTAAGGTTATTGCGATAGAACGTGTTGCGTCAAAGGATAACCTACTGGATCCACTAGAGGAACTAGGTTAAACTGTGATGAAATTTACAAACTGACTAGAGGAATAAGGCTTAAGCATGCTGAGGAAAAAACTTTTATAATGGAAAATCTAACCCAGAAAGATTGGAGATCCAAAGAACTAAGTTCAACAGAACAACCTACTTATAAGACTAAAGTATATCACTGTGGGGGCTAATAGCCTCAGCCCATGCCTGTCAATGAACAATGACAGAGCAAAGATGATATAAAGTAATTGATTTAATGATCACTAAGTGAGTGATGTATCACTCGGAAACGTAGAAAGATTACATCTGTGAGAGAGAAGTGAGACCGAATCAAAAGAGAACTTTTCAGGCTGAGTTCTTTAGAAACTCTCGCAGAACCAGGACGAGCTCAATGGCCAAAACGGACCAAACAATGAAAATCGAACTAGACATATAAATTCGGTGTCAGTATATAACCCACTTACTAGAAGAATTGAACAGTTCAAGACAACGTGTCTATTGGACAATTGGTAAAAAGTACATACTGCCCAAAGGAAAGTTCAAAGGAAAACCTACTTATCCTATGCAGAATTCATCTTTCTTTCATCGAGTTATCATTTTTCTCTTTCATGAGGGGGATTGTTAGGTATTTAATTAAAAATCTGAAAGAGGAATAAATAATTTGTCCCATATTTTATCTGATTAATTTATTTTGATTTGAGAAAATAAATAAATAAATAAATAATCAGATAAATTAATTTGTTGCAACTGAATGCAACGTGCAGACGTGAGAATATTTTTTGCTCTCCACGTGATTAAATACAAAATAATTTAAAAAATATAAATATATATTATATTTTTCATCCCTCGATGAATACGAGAAATCAATTCTCAAAAACTCTCTTGAAAAATCTTTTTTTCAAATTCTTCAGGAAAATTCCCTGCAAATTTTCTTTTCAAAATGTCTAGTTCGGTTTGCGGAATCTGTTAGTCCATTAACAATTCGTTCTTTCCTGGGAAGCGATCGGTGGAGGGCCGAATTCATTTCAAGGAGATCGTGTGCCACACGAGACTCGGATTTGATTTCGTATCCTATCTTATTTGTGTTTTTGGATTTCGCTAAATATATTTTCCAACAAATATGATGGGTAAGACATTTCAAAAATATTAGATTCATAAATTTAGAATACATATTAATTTAAAAATAAACGGTACACATCCAAATAATAATTTGATACCAACCTAGCAAGGAGGCGGCCCAAGGACGATGATCTTCGGCCCAGAGTCATCTACGGCCCAATATCCGATTATAGCTAGCCCAGATCGACGAGCACGCTTGGTGACTTGCCCGGGCCATTGCGCATGAGACCCAGTAGAAGTGCGAGCAGCCCAATGGAAGTTGTTAAGGCTCAGACCCGGTTGAGAAGTAGTGGGGAAGGTGGTTGGAGCTGTTGAGAAATTTAGGGATAAAGATTTATCCAAAAAGATTCAAAATAAATAAACAATATTCTAGGCAAATCAGCATCAAATCAGATTCTACACGACCTTCAATCATCTCCTTCATAATTAATTTTCTCTATATTACTTTTTTATAATATTTTTCATTCAAGAACAACCCTTTTATTTTTTACAGCTTTCTTTTATAAAATTCCACTTCTTTTTTTTATTATTAATTTTCAGCCTTTTCCTTGCATTGTTAGATTTATTTTTGTTTTCCCGTCACATTAATTTTTTTTATCATCACAAGATAGATCCGATCATTTCTTAAATGAGGCTAGGGAACTCTCCTGTTAGAATTAATGGAATAATATGATTTCTCAAACATACAATTAGGGTTACATCGTCATATATATACAATTGATATGGGCCGGGCTATTTACATAAATATATATATCAACATCCCCCCTTAAACTCAAGGTGGGAGTGTGAAAACAAGCTTGAGTTTGCTGAAAAACGACTAAAAGCGGCCGGGTAAATGAGGCTTGGTGGACAAGGAGACGTTGCCGTTATCAACGTGATGATGTACAAGGTGATAGTCGATCTCAATGTGTTTCGTATGCTCGTGAAAAACATCATTCGTCGAAATCTTCATGGCACTCTAACTATTATAATGAATAGTAGTAGCAGAGGGCTTAGACACACCGAGATCAACCAGTAACCATCGAAGCCATAGAAGCTCGGCAGTGGTATCGGCAAGAGCTCTATACTTGGACTCTGCACCGGACCGGGAGACAACCATTTGTTTCTTGTTGCACCAAGAAATAAGCGAATCACCAAGGAAGAAACAAAAATCAGTAGTCGAGCGACGATCGGTGGGATCCCCGCCCAATCAACATCAGAGTACTCAGTCAAAACCAAGAATGAGCGAGTTGAATAATGGAGGCCATGGATAAGAGTGCCTTTGATGTACCGAAAAATCCGTAAACAACAGAATAATGAGTCATCCGAGGAGCGGACATAAACTGACTGACGATATGAATAGCATAGGAAATATCAGGTCGAGTAATAGTCAGATATATCAGGCTTCCTACCAGCTGATGATATAAGGTAGGATCGTCAAGATAGGCACCATCCATCAGAGTAAGACGACAATCAGACTCAAGAAGCGTAGGCGCGGTCTTGGAGTCAGTGAGACCTGCTGTAGACAGAAGGTCGGAAGCATACTTGGTTTGAGAGAGATAGTACCCGTCGGAAGTGTCAGAGATCTCAAGACTGAAAAAGTACCGAAGAGGCCTCATGCTCTTCATTTTAAAGTGATTGTGTAGATGATCCTGTAGCTCAGAGATATCGGACTGATCATCTCCCGTGATGATCATGTCGTCCGCATAGAGTAACATAAGAGTAACACCAATGGACCCACGACGAATGAATAAAACAGAGTCATGATAGCTTGAAGTAAATCAAAGCTGGAGTAGAGTAGAGTTAAATTTTAAAATTCAAGCTCAGGGTGCTTTCTTCAAACCGTATAGAGCATGACGAAGTTTACATACCTTGTAGATCGTGGGAAAACTAGGAGGACACATATAGATGTCCTCGGATAGATCACCACGCAGGAATGCATTCTTGACATCAAACTGATGTAGGGGATACTGACGAGCGGCAGCGATAGCTATATGACAACGGACGGAGGTGAGATGAGCAATAGAGCAAAGATCTCCTCATAGTCGATATCGTACTCCTGGGTGTAGCCTTTAGCTATCAAACGAGCCTTGTAGCACTCGATGTATCTATAAGAGTGTGTTTTGATCCCAAATACCCACTTACAACGGATAGGTTTCTTGCATGGAGGAAGATCAACCATATCTCACGTATGGATTTTCTCCAAAGCCTGTAACTCCTCAGACATAGCCTGCCACCACAATAGGTCCGCATACGCCTTACGAAAGGACCTGGGCTCATGGTGGGACAAGGTGATAGAGAAGCAATGATAATCAAGTAAGTGAGTAGGGAGATGACTTACCCAATTGGAATGGTGAGGGCCAGGATCAGGGTCCAATGTCAAAGTAGTGTCAGGCTCTGGTAGTGGTGAGGGATCAGAGTTAGGAGTAGTAGCAGGATTGGGGGTCAGCATCGGTTCAGGAGGCGCAACCGGAACAACGTCAGGCGCAGGGTACAGAGCCGCGTCATCGGAAGGAAATAGAGGTGGAGAGGACAAGGTAAAAAATGGAGATGAACGATCAAAGGGAACTCGAAAGTGTGACAAAGTAGAGAACTTAGTATTCTCCAAGAATATGACATGATGGGAAATACGAACCTATTGGAAATAGGATCCTACCAACGATAATCCTTATGCTCTACCCCATATTCCAGGAAGCAACACAGATGCGCACAAGGTTCTTACTTAGTACGCTAATGAGGAAGGAGGAGAATGAGACTGAAACAACCAAAAGAGTGGAGAAGACTATAATCAGGAGCTCGATTAAATATCCTTTTTCAAATGGACTAACACTACCCATGACATAGGAATTAAGATGATTTATAGTGTAGACAAAAGTATGTGTGGCTTCCCCCAAAAAATGATCCGGACAAGAGGCAGATAAGAGAATAGTGTGGAATGTATCGAGTATATAACGGTGTTTACGTTCGGCACGAACATTTTGTGGACAGGTGTACGGGCAGGAACGCTGGACAATAGTACCCTGATCAAATAGGAAACGAAGGAATAAAGAATCTGTATACTCAAGTGCATTATCTGTGCGGAGAGTTTTTATGGTGGAGGGAAATTGGGTATGTATCATTTTAGCAAAGTCCATATAAATAGAGGAGAGTTCAGAACGCTGTCGCATGAAGTAAATCCATATAAAACGAGAATAGTCATCGATAAAAAGCAAAAATTAACGAGAACCATTCATAGAGACAGTAGGTGAAGGTCCTCAAATATCATAGTGAACTAATGAAAACGGTGTATCCGCAACAGAAGTACTATGAGGGAATGACAAAGCAGGTTTTTTCCCCAACGACCAATCCACATAATTAAAAGACTCAAAACTGACATAACCCAAAAGACCCTGACTAATCAAAGACCTGAGTTTATTGGAGGATGCATGACTGAGACGTTGATTCCATTGAAGGAAGAATGGTGTAGTGGTGGTGGTAGCAGAAATAGAGGGACGAGGGAGCTAAAGTGACTCAAGCTCAAACAAGCGGCCCATCTTCCGGCCCTTCTTGAGGGTCCTCCTGATTTGCACATCCTGAACCTGCACACCAGAAGAAGAGAAAATCACTTTGAGACCTTGATCAACTAATTGACCAACTGAGATCATATTCAAGGTTAATTGGGGAATACAATAAGTGTCAGGGAGGGATAAGGACGAGGGGGATACATGTCCAGTATGGGTGATGCTCATATGGGTAGCATTTGCGGTAGGAATAGGGGGTAGAGATGATGTGGTGGATATGGAGGTTATAAGACGTATATCAGAGGTCATATGATTACTACATGCAGAATCAAAATACCAAGGAAAGTTACCTGTTGTGCTAGACATGACAATATTGGAAGATAGAACTTGTTTAAGAAGAGCCTCCAAATCCTGAATTGTAGGAGGCGTAGGCAGAGACGTGGCAGAGGCTGTGAAAAATGAGGTACTAGACTAAGGAGGTCCACGAACATGCCGAGGCTTGAAATTACTTGGGCCAGAGCGAGACGACCTAGTAAGGAAATAATGTATAGTATGGCCTAAAACATAACAGTAACGACACTCCACCTTGGGGCAGTGACCGAAGTCGTTATCAGAGGACTGATATCATTTGCAGCGGAGTTGACGAATCTGAGTAGGAATTTGGGCGGTGACAGCAAGAGCATAATCAAGCGGAGGAGCCATGACTGGGTGAACACGAGTTTCTTCAAAAAGAATCTCCTGAATGGCCGCATCCAATGTAGGAAGCGGGTGCCGATGTAATAAGGAGGCACAAAATGCCTCATACTCTGGACGCAAAGCTATCAAAACCTGAATAAGGCGGAGATGATCAGGACTGATCTCGGCCTGATCCAACCGATGCCAAATGGGTTGCACTTGCACAAAAATTCGTTGACAAATTGTCCTGGTTCATGTTTTAAATCATGGAGTGTACCAATAGCTGATAATAGTGCGCCAATCCAATAGCACGGAAGCTGACTGCTAAGAAATTCCACGCTGCCTTAGCAATTTCAAATTGGGCAAGTTGCACATGTATCTCCGGAGTGGAAATATTGCGCAACCAGGTAAGAATCTGATGGTTCTTACTGTCCCAATCCTCCAATATTTCAATATATGATTCAACAACTTTAAGGGTAATCGTAAGTTCTCCTATAGAAACCGGAGCAACATGAGCAACTATATCCTATAACAATCCGCCATAACTTCCTCCTTAGAAAAAAACTTTTCATTGATTGTGCTCATAAATTATAATTATCCCCAGATAAATTTTTCCTCCCGTCACACGCTGCTGTTCGCCGTGAGTTTTCGGTAGAGTTGGCAAAAATTGACCCGATATGACAACCTGACACGAAATAATTGGGTTTTGGTCAAAGATTTCAACCCTATTATGTATACGGGTTGACACGAACCCGACACGATAGTAAACAGGTCGGGTTAGGGTTGAGGCTCTCAACTCGAACCCGACACGACAACCCGATTATAATATATTAATATTGATTAATATATTCATTATATATGTAAAATAATCATAATTTAATAATTTCCTCATAAATTAATTTAAACTAAGTTCAATTTTAAATAATTGAACCTAATTTACGCTCAAATCAAATAAAAACTAACATAGCACGACAACCCAACAAAAAATTATTTAATTTAAATCAAGAAATTCGACTTAATTATGTATACGAGTCAACACGAGTCAACTCGAACCCGACACGATAATAAATGGGTCGAGTTAGGGTTGAGTAATTTAACATGTTTAAAGTATTCAACCCGACACGAACCCGACACGAATCGACCCATTGCCAGCTCTAATTTTCAGGTGCCGACCGGTCACGCAGTGGCACTCCTGGTGGATCAAAGATCACCGGAAGGTTGAGCAAGTGAACGGGCAGTGTGTTTTGGTTATACGGGGAGAAATTGGGGCTCTGATACCATATTGGAATCAACGAAATAATATGATTTCTCAAAAATACAATTAGGTTACAACGTCATATATATATATATATACAATTGATATGGGCCGGGTCATTTACATAAATATATATATATACACGATATACATCAATACCTTCGAACAAATAGATTTCGACAGACTTTTCCGATTAAACCGTCGGAGCTGAGCTTTTTACGACAATATAAACAAAAGTGAAGTGAAATAAAAATAGAAATTAGAAGTATAAGTCAATTTATTTTATTTTTTTTAAAAAAATATCATAATATAATAAAAGTGAAAATATTTTTAAACACTTAAAATTACCAAAGATATATTGTTAATATGCATATATTTTTTACTCAATTTTTATAAATTATAATTAAAATTATGTCAAAAAACTTTAAATTATAGTATAAATAAATATGTACTTTTTAAATTTGGTATATTATACAAATTAAAAATAAAAAAGAAAATAACATTTATCTTTAAATTAGTTTTACTTTACAATTTATTGTAAAAATTTAAATTATCAAATATATATCTTAAATTTTAATTTAAATATAATAAATAAACTAATTATTTTAAAATATGTTATTATTATTATATTATTATTATTATTACTACTACTTATCTCATCGTGTTTGTAAAAAAATACATTTTGAACTTCAAAATTATTTATATTTTTGGATAAAATTCAATACAACTAAATAATTGTAACATACGTATCAGTTTCGTCTTATAAATGTGGATGCTTTAGTATAAAGCCACGTATCATTTACATTGATTAATTTTCAACCGCAGAATGTATTAATATTTGCCTATAAATATGTCCCACGAATGGAATGAAATGATACACTACAGTTTAATATAATTATCTTCTCACATCCTCCCTCCCTACTCCTTCCATATTCATGTCATATATATATGCTATAAATATAATATACATTATATATATACATTCATATATATACCGTATACATATAATATATGTTATACACAATATATATAATATAATACAAAATATAAAATAGTGGTTAGCGGTAGAAATAATTAGTATTTCTATTGGCTATCTCTATAATAATATTACAACACGTTATCAACACGATTATATATTTTAATTTCCGCAATGTAATATTTTATATTTAATCTGTTTATTATATCTAACATTGCCAAAACTATATAGTCTGGGCTCGCGATACTAAAATCCATCTTGCATCTATGGGCTTGAAAAATACCATTGTCCGGGATAAATTTCCCGAGTGTG